CCAAATACATCAACAAGTAATTCACAAAATAAGAATTACAAATGGACACAATCTCACTAGTAATCAAAGAAGTGCAAAGGGGCCACACGTGGTGGCTCACACCTATAATCTTAGCACTCTGGGAGGCCGAGGTAGCAGGATCGCTTGAGCTCAGGAGTTCCAGACTAGCCTGAGCAAGAGCTCTCTACCCCATCGCTACCAAAAAACAGAAAAATTAGCCAGGTATCATAGCACGCGCCTGTTGTCCCAGCTACTTAGGAGGCTGAGGCAGGAGCATCGCTTGAACCCAGGAGTTTGAGGTTGCAGAGAGCTATGATAACAGCACTGCACCTGCACTCTACCCAGGGCAACAGAGCAAGACCTGTCTCAAAAAATAAAAAAGAAGAAGAAGAAGTGCAAAGGAAATCCATGCTAAGAAATCATTTTTAGCCTGTGACATTGGCTAGTTTTTTTTTTAAGGGTAATACCTAGCACCAACAAGGATATTGGGAAACAGGCAGTCTCATACAATTGCTGATGGGTTTAAAAATTGATGTAACCCTTTTATGGGACAATGGGACATTATTTATCAAAAGCCTTAAACAGGAACATCCTTTTTGACCCTCTTTGTGATTTATTCAAATCTAGGAATATATTTTAAGGAAATAATAAGAAGGCGTGCAAAGATTCAGACCTTTGGCCCTTGTTTTCCTCAATGTAATTTTCCTTGGACTGACCCTACCTGATCCAAGTGAATCTCAGGAAGGGGGGGAAAGGCATCCTCTCAGGGCTGCCTGTAGCCCAGGCAAAAAGAGGGCTCCACATGGTCAAAACCTATAAACCAGGAAACTTTGCAGGATTTGAAGCAAGAGCCAAACAGTAACAGGAAATATGCATTTGCACAGTGCACACCCCATGCATGTTATTTTTCTATAGAATCTGACACAAGGATGAGTGGTTGGGTGCAGTTAAGAATAGCAGGTTGTGGCCAGGTGTGGTGTCTCACGCCTGTAATCCTAGCACTCTGTGAGGCCGAGGCGGGAGGATCGCTTGAGCTCAGGAGTTCCAGACCAGCCT